GTCCATTACCGGATGTAAGGAGTTTTGACCCATGCTCATATAATGGCTTCTGAGCAAATCTTGAGGCCTGTGCAGAACCAACACTCTCCAAGCCGTGCAGCTCCTTCACCGTCTGCAGGTGCTAGAGGGGCATGAGATGTCTTGAGTTTTTAGCATATTCTGCCCAAGCGAGTCCTCTAAAAAGCCTTGGAAATCGTCTCTGTCGTTTTTGTGCCTTCTTACTGCACCTGTAATGTCATTACGTGTGGTGCAGGAACAGCGGCTGGAGGTCGCCCCGGTCGACGCACAGGTGGCAGCTTGGGTGCATTTGGCTTCGGCATTTTGAAGCGTGCCTGGATGAACAGCAAGGGTAGCTGCGGTACATGAGCACATCCCACCCTGGTTCACCAATTTTAAGGTCATCAGATCGTTACAGAAGTCTCATCAGTGGCGGCATGCGATGCATGTCCTCCGGTTCTTGCAATGCGCCGACAACATTAACTTCGGTGCGGCACTCGACGCTTGTGTCAAGGCCAGCACCTGGCTCGCGGCATCTAGCCTAATTGTAGGGCTGAGACAGCGATCATTGCAAACGACCACTGTTTTGGAGAACACCCTGATTGATGGTCTTGCCCAACTTTCGGGCTGGGAGAGGCCCTTGGATCGCCTGATGGCCATGCGCCGTCAGGGAATAAGCTACAACTATGCAAGCTTAGGGGCAGCTTTGGCATCATCTTGGAAACAAGCCTTGACAACACTTAATTTCGCAAGATGCCTGCACCTACGTCCAGATGTAATAACATCTGGCGCTGCACTGAAGGTCTTAGGTGGGTCGGCAGGCAACTGGGAGAACTCCTTGAATTTCCTCTTCGACATGAGGCTTGGCGGTGCCAATCCAAACAAGGTTTGTGTAACCTCGGCCACGGCTTCATGCGAGCACTGGCAACAAGCATTGTCATTGAGACGCTGGTCTGTCAGTTGCTTGGCACAGCCTAGAAGCTTTGCATTTCCTGCTGAACCACCATGCTCTAAGTTGATGTGCAATGCTCATCAGGTTTCTTCGACGCTGCGCTGGATGATGTTGGGTTGAACTCCTTGCTGGTAGTCTGTCAAACTATGTGGCCGATCGGACTTAGTGTGCTAGCAGGCCACTTTCCAAGCCTTTGCCGTCGCGAAGAATGCTCCTCCTTCCGAACCGTTGTGCAGGTTTGCGCTCGGCAGGAGCAGTGGGAAGTTTCAACTCACATCCTCTCAGCTATGCAAAGCAACGCTGTGCGCACGGACCTCGCATCCACATGTGCTGCATCCTCTGCTCCCGTCCTCACGCTTGCATGGCCGAAAGTCATAGCGGCCGTACAGGACGCCAGAAGCCCCGAGGCATCAATTCATCAAGCTTGTGACCTCTTACCAGGAACATAATAAAGCTGTAATGGAGATCAGCACAGTCATCACAATCCTGCTTGAAGCGCAAGGCAGCGGGCTATGGCCTGGAGATGTCGATTCCTGGTCTTCCTTACTTCTCAATCTCAGCAAGCTGGGAACGCAGGGAACTGCCTTATGGGCTCGGGCATTGTCCTGCGTGGAAGCACTGACGGGGACTGGCTTGGCGACCTCACCTGTGTCCTCATATGTCCTGAACATTTGTGCGCGAAACTCTGCGTGGCAGGAGGCTTTGGCTTTCTTCAATTCTTCAGAGGATGCAAGTACCTTGGCCTTCAACGCTGCCCTTGCAGCCTGCCAAGCCGGCAGAAAGTACGAGCTCGCGCGCGGTTTCTTCAGGCGCATGTGTGCGCTTGGCCTGGCTAATACCGCAAGCTTCAACAGTTTGCTGGGAATCTGTGGGAGCCAGTTACAGTGGCCCGAGGCTTTGGCGATTCTTGAGGAGATGTCAGCCAGGCAAGCTGTGCGGAATGAGGCCACCTACACCACAGCCTTCAAAGCTTTCGAAGGTCCAGGAGCGCAGTGGCAATGGGCACTGTCTTGGTTCCAGCAGATGTCTGCTGACCAAATCCAGCTGAGTGAGGTGAGCTTCACTGCCCTCATCAGCACCTGTGGCAGCGCCGCCCAATGGCAATGGGCCCTCATGTTGCTGAAGCAGATGCAGGCTTGCCAAGAGAGAGACCTTGTAGCTTGCAGCGCTGCGCTGAGCGCTTGCGAGAAGGGCTCTGAATGGCAGAGGGCCCTGCTTCTTTTCCAAGAGGCTCTGGAGCTTGATGCAGATGTGCTGGCCTTCAATGCTGCCATCAGTGCTGTGGACAAGGCTGGTGAATGGACCCTGGCTCTGGAACTCCTGCAACAACTGGAAGGGGAATGCCAGATGCAGGCCGATGAGATTACAATCACTTCTGTGATCAGCGCCTGTGCTCGAGCTTCTCAGTGGGAAAGGTCACTTAGCCTTCTGGCTGAGCTGAAACGCAGGAGCCTTGAAGCAAGCCATATCGCATGGAACTCTGCAGTGAGTGCTTGCGAGAAGGGCTTGCAGTGGCAAATGGCCTTGTTGCTTCTTGAAGCCATGCTTTCCAGCAGTCTCCAAGTAGATGAAATTTCCTTTAATTCTGCCATTAGTGCCTGTGAGAAGGGAGAGATGCTAGGCTGAAACCAGTCGCAGCAATCCCCTTCCTGTGGCAATAGTAATAGTCATAGTAATACCAATAGTAATAGTAATAGTAATAGTAATATTATTGTGGCAGGGCGGCTAGCTGTGCTGTGCCGTTGGGTAGGGCTTTTTTCCTTTATGGGCTTTGCAGGGGCGAAGGCAAAGCACTCACTGGGAAAGGGTTCGCGTGATGGGCAGTTATGTGTAGAAAAGTGGCTTCTGAAGCATTTGAACCTCGAGAGATCTGAAACACACCAACTAGATTGCTACCGAGGTCTTCTACTACGATGCCCAGGCATAAGCCAGGAGTGTTCAAGTCTGTTGCAAGGCATTCGACTTTTGACAGGTGCACCGCTTGACAAATGGGATGATGGAGAACCTGGACCCAGCAAGCTATCAGACGCAGCAGGTGATCGTCAGCGAGATATTGAGGCAGGCGACTGTGAGATAGGGAACATCACGCTAGGCTTTTCTGACTTTGCGGAGGTCAGATGCAGGAGAAAAATCCCTCACGCTCGGCCACGTGCTGAAGGCGCACTCAGTTGATGCCCGGCTATGTTGACATGTTGTGCTCTCCAGGTCTACGACGCAACCATTGCAAAGCATGGCATCAGCGTCCGGCGCTTGGAGAATATGTTGTGGCACGTGCTATCATCACCATCATCCCAAGAGAAAGCTTTGCAGCCATGTGATGCACAACATGTTCATGCCGCGGCTGTTTGCTCAGAGTCTGGCCTGCTCTTGTGCTTTTGCACAGTCTTGCGGGCCTGCGGCCATGAGCTTGCAGAAGGCCGAGTCAAGATTGAATGATTGAATGGTGTAGGTTCCTGACTGCCTTGAGCAAATTCCACCTTGCATCCAAACTTCCTCTAGTCTAGTCCATGTCAGTCTGATGGCCCAGTATGATTTGTCAATTTGTCTTCTTGACAGTTGACACATGTTGACATGGTCGTGGAGACTGCAAAGCTGCAATGTTTCCACGGCTTGATGGGCACAGGTTCGCCGTTGCTGCGCATGACCGCTCCTCGCATGGCTTGCGTGGAATGTGTGACCAGCTCGGTGAATCAAGCACAGGCACAGGCGTATTCTTGGGAAAGTGTCGTTGGTTCAAGCTCTGGCAACATTTTTCTTGCCTCGCGCTTTCAGGACTCGGTCCTTCAGATATGGCGCTGCCCGAAGCAGGCAACACTTCACCTCAAGGCTGGTGCTTTATTGGGACCATAATGGGTATATATATATAATATATTTATAGTAATCAATTGGTTTCCCCCATACAGTAACTTCGATTTAGCTCCTTAACAACAACCCATCAGGAGGTGGCCAAGCGCCAAGGTGGTCGCGCCACTCTGGAGGCCGGCCGGGATCAAGAAGAGTGTACTTTTGATTACTGGTTGCCTGTAGGGAATATAGGAATATATTAGGAATATATCATAGAGGGGTTATATAGAGATTATATTCCCATACTCCCGACTGAGGACCAGTTTTTGGGGTTGTAGACGGTGTTGGCACTGCAGCATCTTCCTGCGAGGCCCTGGAGCAGATGACTCTCGCCTGCAACGATCTGTTATTCGAGTTGCAAGCCAAACAGACATAAAGCGTTGGGGATTTCATTCCCAGGTACCGGGGACGATTGGAGTTGCCCTGACCTTACGCTTGCTCGGAGCAACATGAGCATGTTGCAACACTTCTATAGTGGAAAGACGGACACAGCAGTGTCGCATCGCGGACTGAGGAACGTCGTGCACTTCAATGCTGCCATGTCAGCATGCAAACGGGATGCTTGGCGTGAGGCGGCGCAGCTATTCCACCGACTGCAATTTGCGGGGCTACTCCCGAGCATCATCACCTTCAACCAGCTCATCTCTCTGAACCGCGGAGAGGGCTTGGACTCGTTCTGGCAAAGGGCCTTCAGATTGCTTGGGGAAGCCAACGGAGCTTTGGATGGAAGAGTGGAGGCAACGACCGCAACAATAAACGCCGTGATGTCCACATCCGCTCGCGGCTTCTGGAATTCAGCCTCGGAGCTGCTTGAAGGCCTGTCCCGCAAGGTATTGCAAGCAGACCAGGTGAGCTTTGGTACAGCCATTGCGGCCTGTGAAGGGCAATGGCTTATGGCTCTGTTTCTACTCCACACAGGTATGCCAAGGCATCGCTTGTATCCAGACGTTGTTGACTTCACTGCTGCCATTCGAGCCTGCGGTACCTGCAAGCAGTGGCACTGGGCTATGGAGCTCTTGACTGCAATGGAGAGTCACGCGGCGCCCAATGAGATCACCTTTGGTGTTGCCATCAGTGCCTGTGAGCGCACGAGTCACTGGTCAACTGCGGTGCACCTTTTGCAGATGTTGTCTGACCGGAGCCTTCCCTTGAACCACATCATTTGCAGCACAGCCATCAGTGCCTGCGAAAAAGCAAGTAGCATGGCAGGAATGAACTTACAGACGTTGTTCAGGGTGGCGTGCTAGGCTTTCGCTGCTAGTCGCAGTTGTTGTCACAGTTAGTTACTGTCGCAGTTACCATTATTACTGCTAGTAGGGATAACATCATCCTTATACGTTTTCAACGAAGAAGCTTATTCTGTTCTGAGGCCGCTGGCAAGCTGCTCTCCACTTGCTGAATTCATTTTCCGATCATAAGCTGAAGCTGGACAATGTCTGCTACAACCCAGTCATTGCAGCTTGCTCGCAAGCAGTGTGGGAGCTTTCGCTGGTCTTGTTGGCCCAGATGCCAAGCAAATCCTTGGCACCAGATGCCTTCACTGCCACAGCTGCGTCACCCGCACTCGGTCGGATCAGATGGGAAGATGCGCTGGCGCAAGTGGCTAGGAGCAATGTGCTACAAGGCGGCACCGACTCCTACCCATGGGAGCTTGCCCATGCGAGCCTCAACGGAATGGCCAACAGGAGACTCAGGCTCTCCACAACACGTCTGGATTCTGCACTGTCCTCCATGAACACACAGCAGTGGTCCCAGGGTCTTGCCCACCTCCAAGCTGCAAGAAGACTAAGCCTCCAGCACAGCATGATCACCTTCAGCGCAGGGATGGCCATCACTCCAAAGTGGGAGCAAGCTCTGCTTTTCGCAGATTTCATGCATGTGGAGGGGATTGCCTCATCCCTTGTGACACAGACTTCCGTGTTGGGTGCCATGGGTGGGTTCGATGGGTTGTGGCACCTGTCGCTGGCCGTCTTCCGGCAGCTCCGGGGAGAGTTCCAGCCTGACGCAGTATCCCTCAGCATCATGTCCAGCAATTTTGCAGAAGCCAACGAGTGGCTGGGCTGCTGTTAAGGAACCTAATTTAAGCTACTATATCAGAGAAACCACATAAGTTACTATATCTACCCACTACGCAAGTTTGGTAAATTTAACTTATGCCCATTATTTCAGCTTACTTTAGGGTCCTTAACAGCAACCCAGGTGGGGCAGGGCTTTGCTTTTAGGGGAACAAGCCAAGCAGCTCAGTAGCTTCCGAAGTCGCCTCACTGCGTGCGAGAGGGGCTCGCAATGGCAGTGCGGACTTCTCGTTCCTTGCTGGGTCTTAGTAGGGAATGAGGGACTATGCCATATAGGGGGTTACATATTATATAGGAAAATATTCCCTAAATATAGGTTGTTTAGTGATTCAGGGAACATATTTTATTGGGGATGATATAGGGGATATGGAGATGATACTATGAAGGATGTAGGGGTTATAGGGATTATATTCCCTTAGTAGATTATATTGCATTCCCTTAATATGTTTTGTAGGGATTATATAGGGATTTTATATTCTTCCCTACTAAGAACCAGTAAGGTGCTGGAGTCTCTGCAGGCAGCCAGGCTTCAGGACACTAACAGCGACCAGGGCTGCATTCAGCATGCCGTCTCGATTTTGGATAAAGTCCTTACTCAAGCAAAAATAGTGTAAACTCGTTAAAGGGGGATTATATAGGGGACTCTGTAGGGTAATATCATAAGGCTTATCAAGGGGGATACTAGGAGTTTGGAATATAGCTCATTTAAGGGATACTGGGAGGGCTAGCTGGGAACCCTAGAGGCCTCCACCCTTGGCAAGTGTTCCAGAGTGTAGAGGCCTGACATCGTGGGAGATGCCTCCAAGCAAGCAAGAAACGACTCATGGTGATTTCGCAGGGAAGGAAGGAATGATGAAGGAATGTACTACTGGGATGACTCTGTTGGACAATGTAGGGTCTATCATTAGGATCCATAAGTCCGTTAACAGTTTCCATTTTGTTTTCCATTATCCCAATATACCCCAACATAACCCAAATATAGTCCTAATATAACCCTAATATAATCCTAATATAGCCCTGATATAACCCCAACATAACCCTAATAAAATCCCAATATAGCCCCAATACCACAAGTAGATCCAGGTTGCACCTCTGCAATCGGTGCCTGTGAGAACTGCGGAGAGTGGGAGGCTGCCTTGGAACTCCTGTTTCTGGGCTGCTGTTATAAGGTACCTAACTTCACTTACCATAATGGGGATGTATATGTATATATACGTACATATAGTTATATATATACATATACGTATGTATATATATATATATACAAAAAATGAATTGGTTTGCCCAATTTTTCTACTTAGATTAAGTTCCTGAACAGCAACCCAGGTTTGGGATGCTCGGGGCAGAGCTCCGACCAGACAGTTTCAGTTGCAGTGCAGCCATTAGTGCATGTGGAGCCACCGGACACTGGCAGCTGGCGGTCTACTTGCTGCAATCCATGGATGCTTGGAGTCTGCGGATTAACTTGATCTGCTTGACCGCGGGCATTAGTGCCTGCAGGGCTTCCGCACAGTGGCAGCTTGCCTGTAGTGTTCTCCAGAGAGTCACCCTGCATGGCTTTCTGTGCGATGACATTGCTTGCACAGCCGGCATCGGTGCATGTGGTCAAGCCAGCCACTGGCAGCAAGCCCTGAAGCTTCTGCCATGGTTTCAGCCATTTTCCCAATACGAATCGGAATTCGTTTGTGGAGCTGCAATAGGCGCTTGTGCCAAGGGTCAGCAAAGCGCTTGCAATGCGGACCAAGACCTGCTTGAACAACAGTCAAAATTTTGATAATGATTTATTTGATTCCTTTGCATACATGGTCAAGAGTGGCCCAGTTTCTACGGCATCACACTCTGAGATTCAATTCATGCTCATGAGCTATCGAAGGCCACGGACCTTGCTGGGATTCAGATCTACCGAGCATTGCTGCAGCCCGCTGCTCAGTGGGAGGTTGTCACATGAGCTACAGTCTAAACTCCTTAAAGGGGGTTATGTAGGAGACTTTCTAGGAGATGGCTCACATGAGACTCAAAAGTTGGCTGAGTGCAGGTGGGGCAGGCAGGATAGAACCAAGCCTCCCAGTCGCGTCCGCGCACCACTGGAAACCCTCTCGCCGGTCCGCAATAGGGGCCTTGAGTCCAGCACTGAGTGCGCAGGAGAGCAGTCTGACGGCCTGGCACTACTTTTGGTACGCGTCCATGACTCAAGGCATTTTGGGAGCGCAACGGAGCCCACAACTGCAGGGAGCTCATCAGATACGTTTGAAAAGGCGTTCTCGGATGCTGTGCGAGGCTGCTTCATGTGATTGGCGTTTCAACCCTCCTGCTGAGCCTGCTGAGCCCGTAACAGGTAGCTGGGTCCGCTGGACTAAGCAAAGCCAGATGAAACACATTCCGGGCATGCCAGGTCACCACCAAAATGCGAAAGTCTCAGCTGGAAGCCTCAGAAATGCCAAGCTGCAGAATGTCTTGCGCCAAGGTGCTTCGGGCTACGCATGCTGGCTCGCCCACGTCTGGCACAAGCGCTGGCCCGACTGCATGTCCACAGACAAGGTGTGGTGTTAGCTGTCCTGGGCCATCCGGATTCAACTTTTTGCCAGGCCTTGCCGGACACAGCCAGAATCTAACCACCAAGTGCCGCAGGCTGGAACGGAGTGAGGGGGGCGGAGAGGGCTTTGCAGCGCCTCAGAGACACAGAGGGCACCTTTAATGTCAAACCTCAGAGCTGAGCAGCGCGATCTCAAGTGCGGATAGTCGTCACGCAGTAGAAGCACAAAATCAATAGTTGCATCCAATTTCCTTTTCAGCAACGCCGCATTGCTGTCCTTCAAGGGGGACATTTTCAGGATTACACAGGGGACTACTATACGTAGGGATTATTCAGATGGCTCTTCTGGTCTTCAGGTGGTTGAGCCTTGCACTGCGCAAGCGAGCCTGACTGCCACCGCTGAGCCAGTGGCATTGGCGTTGGCAGCTGCCCTGGAAAGCTAGGCTTAAGCGTCTCCCAGGACTTATTATGACTGGGGTAACAAGAAGATGAACTGGGTTGCTGTTCAGGAACTTAAATTGAGTTGCTACACTATGTAAACCCCATTACTATGTACCCATATTATGGCAACCTAAACCCCAAACCCTATATACCCATATTCTGGTAGTTGAATTGAAGTTCCTTAACAGCAGCGCAGTCAATGTCAGAATCGTGGCCCGGGTGCCTCTGAGGCTCCACAAGGTGGAACCCAGACGGGCCGAAGTGAAAGCCCTGGTCGGGGGCTCCCAGGTATGGCTGGTGACATGAGCTTTGAGAGTTACCAAGGGTTTGGGGTTTAGGATTTAAGGATTTAGGGTTCAGGTTCGGGATTTGGCATTTAGAGTTTAGGGATAATGACCCAGAAAAAGGAGAATCAAATGGACAAGAGCATGGAAAACATCATCGAAGCTGTGTTTTTATATGAGGTTTATAGGGACTCCAGACATGTTGAAACACTTGGTGGTTTCCCGAAGTAAACGGAGCCAAATAAAGACCCCGGAAAAAACATCGTCCTTATTCTAGGAAACATTAACAACGGTAAGCCATGGTAAGCCCAATTTTGAGGAACTTGAATTTGTAGGCACCAGCTCAGAATCTAGAGCCATGGAGAAGAGATAGGAAAAACCTTAGTTGTTCCTTAATCCTGAACCCTAAACCCCTAAACAGCTGAGGCCGGGACCTCGTTGACCTTCTCCCCACGGCATCCGCTTTGGTCTCAACTTCGATGCTCCCATTCAGTGCCCCAACGCAGGCCCGACCGTTGTCAAAGAAGATGTTGTCGCTGGTTCCATCGCCTGAGGTGTGACTTAACCTAACAGCTTCCAAGTGCACATTAGGTCCCATTGGCTAGTGCAGACTCTGCAAACAGATATCCCAGCTGTCACAAGTGAAAGGGTCACTCAGCTGGGTCATTGGAGCCTAGGAGGGCACAGGAGGCGGGTAAAACGCTCACAAAAGTGAAGCTAGCTCTGGTGTATGGAAATCGGCCAGCCTGCCATGACCACAAGGGCCCAAATCTGCACATGGCTCGTGCCAGTCACGCATGTAGCTAGGGCAAGAAGAAAGGACGGAATGGGACTCGCGCCGCGCTCCGCGAGAAGTGTGCTTACATGTGCTCACTTGCAACAAACGGGGGCCCGAGGGCAGAGTGGTGCTCCAGATTGCTTCAACAAGCACTTAGTACTGTAACAAGTTCGCCATAATCTTCTTAAAGGGGGTTATATAAGGGATTATATAGCGGACTGCTGTAAGGTAATCAAGGGGGATACTAGGAGTTTAGGCTATAGCTCATGTCAGCTCCAAGCACGTCGCCCCTGAAATCGTGGCTTGCGCACATCAGGCGACTCTGGAGACGAGGCCGCTTCCTGATTGGTTCATTCAGCTACCTGCAGTAACATAACCCATGCCATCTACATTGTGAAACTTGCGGTCTCCCCTAGTGATGCTCTCAAATGATGTTGTTGAAGGCATGTTCTTTATGTAGACCTTCAGCAGAGGTAGTCACAATCCATATCGTATTATTGTTACTGCCACTTTTTGCTTATGGTTCTTATTACTTGTGGACGGAGAGGATTGTAAGGTCAGATCTTGCCGAGCTGGTTGTCCTTGCCGACGCCTTCGCCTATCGAAAGAACCTTGCCTGGGTGTGGCTCCCAGCTTCCACATGTGGGGGTTCCCAAAATTAGGCTTCCATCTTGGTACCCCTAAATATTCGGTGCCAAACTAGACTTTGTACCCAACAGGAGTCCATGATTTTGAGAACAGCCCATGTGATACAAATTGCAGTATAATGATTGTAAGTGCTAGCAGCGTAGTTCTACAAATAGCAGTCCAACAAGCATGGTCCCGATCTTGCCATGTTCTTGGCCACATTACCCAGGGGATCCATGTTTATAAATACCGCCTACATTGGGCCTGAAGTCTGTAGAAAATTACCTACATTGGGCTATTTGGATCCGTATACATCCCAATAAACCCGTAGTTTCCACCTTCTTTTCCATTTGCATTTCGGCTATTTGGATCCCTCTGGTTATGGCCAGAATCTGAGGCAACGGGGGCATGGCAGCAGGCAGTGCATCACGAGCTGGCCATGCGGAAGGATCTCCAGAGAAAGCAGGAACCGCAGCTGTCTAAAACCCTGAACCTTGAACCCTAAACCCTCAAGCCTAAACCCAACAAAAACTTAAACCTAAATCCAAAACCCAGACCCCTAAGCCGTCCGGAAGGTGCCTTGGCAGCGTAGGAAGTTGAGCAGTAAGGCTATGAGTCCCCCTCAAGTAGATAGAATATGGCTTTGGGTGTATTATCATAAGACCCCCATATACCCCATATTCTATCTACTTAAGGGGGACTATATGAGTAATTGGCTCTACTCGCCTGCAAAGCTACTGCTTGACCTGTCTCCAACCGCCTGACAGTGACACTGATGATTGAACAATATTAGGATAAGCTAGGCTACCTTGCAGTTATAGGGATATTCGGATATTACGCCAGCAATGGAAGATGAAATAAGAAAAAAGTTTGCCAAACTACCCAAACTACTATTTTCGGTTGTTTAGGGACTGTTTTTGGATCCATTCCTTCATTCCTAAATAACCAAAGGCCAGACTAAGACTTTGGCAGGCTCTGCGGCGCTGGCGCCTTCAGACGATGCCTGGGGCCTTTGCAGCGATGAACCTTGCTATGCTTTGGAGCAGAGAGGGTAATTTGGGTTTAGGGTTTAGGGGGTTATATTGGGGGATAATGGGAAAGAAAATGGAAACAACGATAATGGGTTATATAGGGATTATAGGGTAATATGTGTATATTGATATGTTGGAGCAGAGAGCGTAATTTTACTGGAAGGTAGTAGGGAATAAGGGAAGGTAGGGGTAGAACATAGGCTTATCTAGAGAGAGCGGAAAAGACAATGGAAACTACGATTTAGGGTCTAGGATTAGTAGGGAACAAGGAAATATGTTATATGGGAAGGATATGGAGATCATATTCCTTGATTCCCTACTTACCACCAGTAAGTCAAGGCTGCAGGTTGTACATGCTGGGAGAAGTTTTCTATTGAGTGCCTAGGGGGGTTCTCCAACATCAGGGGAACCCGGTGATGGCCCCTAGAATAAGAACTATGACGCTCAGTAGTATAGTCCACAATGGGGTCCCCTTATTTACGGAATCTACTTTAAAGATCTTTGATGCCGATTCGCTCTTCTGCGCCCCTAAGCCCTAAACCCTAAACTTGAAACCCTAAACCCCTAGGCCCTAAAGCTAAACCCCTAGGCCCTAAACCCTTAAGGCGGGCGGAAAAGAGGGGCTGCAAAAAAAAAACTTAAACCCCAAGCCCTATAATTACCCCTAAACCCCAAACCCTAAACCCCAAACCAAACCCTAAAGCCCCAAAACCCTAAACCCCAAAGCCCCAAGCCCTAAACCCAAGGTCGGCCATGAGTTGCAGGGCCCTCCGCCTCCAGCAACAGGCCAACCTGCGTCGAAGACAGCTCCAGTTGGGCCCACGGATTGTCCGACAACAATTGACGGCAACTATAAACATGTGCATATATATATATGCAGAGAGACATATGTATATACATATATACATAGATATGCGTTAGCGCTCCGCTGTGAATGCATTGGAGCTGAGCTTCAAGCGAAAAGGCGGCACAGTCTGATTCCAAGGCAGCTTATGCTGCTTATCGCCTGGCTACCCACGAAACCTCCTTGATCATCTTACCATCGCTTTTTCCCTAATCCGCTAATGCATCTGAGCTAGAGTCTAAACTGCTGAAAGGGGATTATGTAGGGGACGGTTATAGGGCTCTTTAAAGGGATACTAGGAGTGTAGACTATAGCTCATCTAAGGTCTGGCCTTAGCAAGTGGCGGCTTTGCCTGGCAGCCCGCCGTCGCTTTCGCGAAGTCTGCTCCAAGCTGCACGTGCCAAGTGCCTGGCTGTCCATGCTTTGCAATTGATACTTCCTGAGAGACAGCTTGGACAGCAGAACAGGTTGTGAGACAGGGAAATGGGGTTTCCCAAGATTAGGGGTGCCCATTTTAGGGGTCCCCATAAGAAGGACTATAGTATCTTGGGGTCTATATTGGGGTCCCCTTTGGGAAATCACCTCAAATAGGTACATTCCCATGAATTTCCGTCGATTGGCGTAAGCCTTTTCAACAGCCGGGCACTTTCTCCGAGGCAGCAGCGCCAGCGCTGCTTGACCTCCACTTATGGCTGCTGGGTTGTGGTGGTGCATGGCTCATTTGAGCTATAGTCCAAACTCCTTGAAGGGGGGTTATATGGGGGATTACGTTACAAAGGCGGATACTAGGAGTTGAGACTATATAGCTTATTTTGAATCTAGCAGCTTGCTCCATATGCAACATAGAGCGTTTAGATGCCGACCTTGATAAGCTTTGACAGCTGCGACTCCATTTGTTGCTTTCAACACCTCAGGTGCAGACAGTCTGGACCTGAATCTGAACTCAAGATTGTTTCTGGTAATTGTTGGTGTTTCTGTACCTCAGGCGCAGCAGCTCTTGACTCAAGCAAGGGATCAGGCGCGACAACGATTGCTGCAGGCCGGCGCTAGAACTCCATAGCTGTCCAAATTTGAAGTTCTTCTAGATTTGCTCCCACGACACCGCGATGTCAAGCAGCATTTTGATGTGGTGGTGTGCAGGTATGCTGGGAGGCACTACGAGAGCATACACAGCAAAGACAGCTCATGAACTTGTGCGCGGAGCTTTGACTAGGAGCGCTCCCAGATCAGATGCAAAATCCTGCGCAGATCATCAGGTACCGGAGCTGGGCTGATGTGCATTGGCTGCGCTCGCGGCTGGGTGCGGCCTGGCAGGCAACGGGGGCGTTTGGACTTCGGCCTCCGCGTTTTGTCACAGCGCGCAGCGTGCTGCGCAGTGCGGAGGCTTGGGTGCAGTGGCTCCGCAAGCGAGGAAAGGCGCAGTTCTCAGCACCTCTTGGAATGAACACATTTGCGACCTGTTCAAGTGCGTCGCACGTCGCAGTCAGGTGGTGGCCATGCGCAGTGCCCCGCAGCTGCTGGCCGCCTGGCGCTGGCTGCGAGTTCATGCTGCTGCGCGCTCCGGGCAGAGAGCGAGGCGCGAGCCCGACATCCCTGCGTGCCTGCCTGCCCTTGCCTTCTACATGTTGTGCCACGTTGAGCCCTCAGGCCAAGCGTGCCCCACGGCGTGCCCAGCGCCGGCGCCGCCGCATGGTCCGGGGGCCTGGTTCAGGGGAGGACGCATGGAGCAGTGTGTCGAGTTTAGCTGCCCTTAGTGCAAGCACCTTCATTGCGCCGCCAGCTGGAAACAAGACGTTCCAGCATTCTTGGGACATTGCAGGTGGTGGGCCCCCGCCACAGAGTTGTTCTATGGCCCTGCATTGTTCGAAGTCCATCCGCACCATGTCAAGGCCAGGGCGGGTCATGCTAAGCCAGGGTCAGACTGCCCAGCAACAAATGAAACACGAGCACCTATCGAAGATAAAGGCGCATGTCTGGAGTCGTCGCAGATGAGCTGTTTCCTACAATGTATCCTCAACATAGGGGTACGATTTCTCAATAATAAGGACCATAGTATATTGGGGTACATTATATTGGGGTTCCTCATTTTTGGATTGCTGAAGTTGGCACTCCTTGCTCGACTTCACCTTGGCCACAACCGTGCCTGAAGGCTGTCCAGCACACGGTGCTACCTGGATTCGTCAGCGCCCTCATGCAAAAGATGCTCGCCGACTGGCAAATGCAGGCCCATGGATGGAAATTTCCAAAGATATTTGACCGCTGCAAATATGTAATCATAGCTTCTCCATTATTGCAATAACCCTAATATATGGTAGTTTCCCAAAACAGGAGGGACCCCAATATAGACCCCAAAATACTATATTGCCCTTACCATATAGGGACCCCCAAAAAGGGACCCTCCTCTACCCTGTGATAGTCAGATGAGTAGTATTTTTATTTGGGGATACTATGGTACCCAATATAGAGTAAGATTCTATCCTCCTTTTGGGGGGTATAGTATTTTATATAAGGAATAGTATCTTACTAGGTTCAACCACCAAAAAACAGCTCTCAGATGTCTTGGACCTGCGAGGCTCAGGCGACCTGCGGCTTCACCCGACGAGTCAACATGAACACCCTGCGGCGGCACCTCAAAGGCTGGCAGGTGCGCAGATTTCAGAGGGTTATATAGGGATAACGGAAAAGAAAATGGAAGCTACAGGGATTATATAGAGGTTATATAGGGATTATAGGGTATATGTTGGGGTTATATAGGGATAATGGAAAAGAAAATGGAAACTACTACGTTATAATGGGCTTACATAGGGGTGGGGTTTAAGGATGATGGAAAAGAAAATGGAAACTACTACGTTATAATGGGCTTACATGGGGGTGGGGTTTAAGGATACTGGAAAACAAAACGGAAACTACCATAGTATATTGGGGTTATATTGGTATAGTGGAAAATAAGATGGAAACTACTATATTATATGGGGTTATATAGGTATTATACAGGTGCGCAGCTCTCAAGCTGCAGGTTGTAGGGAGATGAAACATTGTGGTAAGCGCAATAACATAGTAGTACCAATAGTAAGATGTGTTTGTAGGGGGATGGAAACATTGACATGTGGGTGGTTGTCAAAATTATGGTCCCTTTTTGGATCCCTATTATAATACGGCACCTAATATTTGGGGTACCCAAAGAGGGACCATAATTTTGACAACCACCCATGTGTATTTCAGCGTACTTCTAGCATTTGTGCAGGTCCAAGCGGAGCAGAGACAGCGATGCCGGGCATGCCAGCAATCTGCTTTGAGCTAAGTGTCATGTTCGAGTCCATAGTAGAAGAAAGGCGCCTTCTCTGAGGTGGTGGCAAGCAGAGTTGCGCGCGCTCGTTCACACGCTCTGCACAGCTGGAGGGCAAGGCACGGGCTAACGCTCCATTCCGCGTTCACCCTCCGAAGCAATGCTGCCAGGACCCAAGAGAAGGTGAGACACCGGCACAGAGCCCGCGATTTTGCGGCGGCCTGCTGGTATCGGCATTGCAGAAGGCCTGCTGTATTATGATTATAAATTCTTGAAAATGTTGTGACTGTCAATTTTTATGAATACAATTACGATTACTTTTATTCACATGAGTATTGTCATTACAATGATTATTCGTATTCGTATTTTTGAATTACAAGGACTATTAGGATTCGTATTGATATTTCTGTTACTGGGTTGCTCAATGGCCCTGACTGCTTTGCCGCCTTGCAGGGCATTCCTGGCATGGCAGACAGCGTGGAAATGGGAGGCATGTCTCTCTTCAACAGTAGTACTGATATAATCGAACATATCAATAATAACAATCACATAGTGCTAGTAGTAATCATATTAATACTAGTACCAATACTAAAACTAATACTAATACTAATAGTCATATACTAATTAATACTAATAATAGTGCGAATAATTAGGAATGTTAACAATGATAGTATTAATACTTAGGAATATTATTAGAAAACATGTCAGATGGCCTTGGCTCTGCACTGCGCTTCCTCAGGCAGCCGTGGCACGGGCTCAGCACAGTGCCGGACAGCGACTGGTCTGCGAGGTTTTCAAGGCCCATGGAGCTGGGTTAGTTGTTTAGAGGTTATAGGATTGAGGGCTTAGGGTTATAGGATTCAGGGTTTAGGGTATAGGGATAATGGAAAAGAAAAAGGAAGCTTCTTTTTTCAACTGAGGGAGACTACGGTGGTGTTTGGCGTGGAGGTCGGGCTGGACGCGGATACAGCCAAAGAGTCACCTGATGTCAACACTAGTGACCAAGTGCGAGTAGCAGGCAGAAACTGGGCCGGAGCGAGGGCGTAGCAAACACAATCAAGCACATGCAGGCCATGTAGCTGAGGCAGCTAAGAAAAAACGGGGTCCGGGGTGTAGGATCACCAGGACAATCAGGTCTTCACAGAGGGAGAGTGCCTGGAACAGCATCTTTGAGTGGTGGTTCTTGCTTGGTCATTTGCTGCTGATTGCAACACTGTACCCTCGACGCCCCAATAGCCAGTAGCCTACACAAACCATCCCATGGAGTCGGCTTTCCAGACCAAGCTTCGATTCCCCAAATAAGCATAGAGCATTATAGGAAACAGAATTGTTGGTTCCGCAACACCACCCAGCATGCCGCAAGTCTGGGTCTGGCGGCAGGTTTGGCTGGGCCATTGGCACTACGAGCATCAGGCGCACCCCCCCGAATACATCTGCTAGGGTCATATAAGGGCATGCATACAGGGGGATGGAATAGAACACGGAAGCTATTTTCGTATCGAGGGTTTTGCGGCAATAGGAATCCCCCCTAATGGCTCCATTCCCAACTTTTGAATCATTACTGGGTTGCTGTTAAGGAACTTAAATTAAGTTACCATGTTGGGGAAACCCTATTATTTACTATATATACCCATTATGGTAACTTAATTTAAGTTCCTTAACAGCAACCCAGATTATTTCGGGGCTTCGGCTTTGGCCGCCCGAACTGAGCCAGGAGCTGGTCCTGCTGCGACTCTCGGGGCTCTTCCTGCGCAAGTGCAGTCCAGACCTTGAACTGATGGGTGTTCAAGAGTGGTGGGCCCCTACATTCACTTCTTTCAGGGGTCCTACGATAATTTTGGAACCCCAATAATATAGTTATGGAACCCCAGTACTCCAGGGGCCTTCATTCTTGGAATTGCTGCACGAACCGACTTCTTGTTGTGCTGGCGAGTCTGCCTCACCGGCTCAGAAGGCCTGGCAGTTGAGCAGCCCCAAGTACTCCACCACCTGGATTCTGCTAGAATTCCTAAAGAAGTCCCCTTGAGAACCCCTAGAACTCCTGTAGAATCCCTACGTGGCTGTCAATCAAAAACATTGGGTTTGTAACAGGCTTGGGCAGCCATTCCGCGCCAGAGGTTTGTAACGGAATCTCCTGGCTTGCGACAAGCACCTCTGCAACAAGGTTCTTTTGTAGGGCAGGTATGCCAATCATTCGCGACAAAGGCGTGTAACAACAGGCTGCGACAAAGGGGTATGTAACAGCGGATGGGGAGGGGGAGGGGGGGGGTGGGTCGCGACAAAACCGGGTTTTGATTCACAGCCTAATTACCCCCGTAACTCCTACATGATCCCTATATGCCCCCACTGAAACCATCAAGATTCGGGCCCAGGCCTGAAGCGAGGATTGAGGCAGCTACACCTCAACGTGACCTGGGCAAGCTTGCCAAGTGATAGCCATCTGATTGGCTTACTCGTTTTTAGTGAGAATAAAAGGAATATACACTCTATGTGCGTAGGACCTCTCTGCGTTATGTGAGTATTCTTTTCTTTATACACTTATATATAAACATTAATAAGGATTGGGTTATGGTTTTAGATTCTTCTGGCCAGGAAGCCCAAGAGTTTACAAATTTTAAAAATTTTAAAAAGTTTTTTAAAACGACGGAGATTTTTAAATTTCTTAAAAATTTGTAAAATCTTGGGCTTCCTGGCCAGAGGAACCTTTGTAAATTTTTAAAATTTATAAAATTCATAAAATTTTGAAAATTTTTGAAATTGTTACAAATCTTGAAAATTTTACAAATGTTAAAGAGTATTTTAAAAAGGACGGAGATTTTTAAAATCTTTAAAATCTTGGGTTTCCTGGCCAGAGGAACCTTTTTAAATTTTTAAGATTCATAAAATTTATTTAAAAAAACAATTACAACTTTTAGAATTTTCGATTTTTTAATTTTTTTCAAATTTTCGAAAGTCTTTTAAAAGGACGGAGATTTTTAAAAAATTTTGAAAAATTGTTAAAATCTTGGGCTTCCTGGCCAGAGGAACCTTTTAAAATTTTTGAAGTTTTAAAAATTTCAAAGTTGTAAAAAATCTACGTCCTTTTAAAAAAACTGTAAAATTTTTAGATATTTCAAAAATTTTAAAAAGTTTAGAAATTTTCCAAATTTTAAAAATTTAAAAAGGTTCCTCTGGCCAGGAAGCCCAAGATTTTAACAATTTTTCAAAAATTTAAAAATCTCCGTCCTTTTAAAAGACTTTCGAAAATTTGAAAAAAAAATTAAAAAAAAGTCAAAAATTTTTAAAGTTTTAAAAATTGTATAAATGTTATAAATTTTAGAAATTTAAAAAGGTTCCTCTGGCCAGGAAGCCCAAGATTTTACAACTTTTTAAGAAATTTAAAAATCTCCGTCCTGTTAAAAAACTTTTTAAATTTTTTCAAATTTTTTAAGATTTTCAAAAATTTTCAAAATTTTGTAAATTTTATAAATGTCAAAAAATTTGAAAAGGTTCCTCTGGCCAGGAAGCCCAAGATTTTAAAATTTGTTAAAATCTTAAAAATCTCCGTCATTAAAAAAAACTTTTTAAAAATTTTGAAAAAAATTTTGAGATTTGTCAAAAATTTCAAAAACTTCAAAATTTTTAAAATTGTATAAATTTATTAAATTTAAAAAGGTTCCTCTGGCCAGGAAGCCCAAGATTCTAGAAATTTCAAAAAGTTTAAAAAGCTTTTTAAAGGGACAGATATTTTGCAAATTTTTAAAACTTTTCAGAATTTCAAAAATTTAAAAAGTTTCTAAGAGGACGGAGATTTTCAAAATTTTTGACATTTTAGAAATTTTAAGATTAGAAATCTTAAAGAAATTTTTAAAAGGACGGAGAGTTGTAAAAACTTTAAAAAAATCTTGGGCTTCTTAGCCAGAAAAACCTTTTAAATTTCTATAATTTTTAGATTTTGTAAAGTTTTTCTAATTTTTGAAGTTTTTCAAAATTGAGAAGCCCTCCTATTCTTTAAGATAAAGGGGCTATTTTAGTCTTTATTCACAGACGGAGAAGCTCTTTTTTTCCATTTCAACAAATAGAGGACCTCTTTTTTTTCATTGAAGAACAGAAGAAGTTTCCTATTCC